AATGTATTTATTCATCTTGTGTGTTGTTGTTGTTTATTTGTTATTTTAAACTTTACAAGTAGCAGCTTTTCATACATGTACATGTGCCCACACTTACATTATGTAGGGTATTTGTGTTTACTATTATTTATATCATTAATTTATTAATTAATTTTATTTATTTATTTGTTTGTTTATATTGTGTCTAGTCAGCAGTAATAAGAAGAGGCTTGTCACTGCCAAGTCAACTCTGCCAAAGAAAATAAATGAACTGGAAATAATCTGTAAAGTAAGGGAGAGAGTGAGGGGGACAGTGGTGATGGGTTTATGTACTTCTTTATTCTCATTATTCAGGACTTACGAAAGGTTGTGTTCAGTTTCAAGAGTTGCTCTAAGTCTGATGTAGTACATGTAAGTATAGCTATACTACTATACCAGTACTGTACTGGTACTGTACTTATACTGGTACTGTACTGGCCTAGACTGGTCTGTACTGTATGTAGTTATATTGTGTATATCCTAATGCACTTCCTTTTTAATAAATACTTGTCAGTGTCTTTATATGTCACTTCTCTCAGTCTATAACCTTTACATATTAAACTGAAGTGTGTGCCTATTATCTGTAGGTTGTCAATTCCTTTGGGATGTATTCCTCTCCCAGTAGTGTCTTTCATCTCTTTGCTTTTGATTACGCTCGAGTAGTTCATAAAACTAAAGAAACTCACTCCTCATCCTCCTCTTCTTCTCAAGGTGAGGAGATGTCCTCCATTACTAGAACTAAGTCTCTTAGTAAATTGGGACTACTAATTTCCCTCTCTCTCTCTCTCTCTCTTTCATTAACAGATGTCATTCCAACTTATTTCAATCCTCGTGACTGGCAGAAGGTAATAAATAATTTAACAAAAGTCACACGATTATTTTTACAATATTAATAATACTGTACTTTGTAGTATGGTGCGTGGGCGGATCAAAGGCGCCGCCAGTGCTACAACTTCCAATAACCGCACGGTAGGAAAATGTAACACTGTGTGGAATATGTAGTACTGCACAGTATAATATGTATGGGCTTTCCTGTTAACCACAAGCTTTGATAGAGGCAAATCACAGCCACAGCTACATACACTAGACATGTAATAATAATAATAGTGATAAATGATGATAAATATCGATCTGATCGTCTTGTCCTGGCCACCTGCGCGACTTTTGAAATTTCATTTGATCCGCCCATGCACCACTACAAACCAATCAAAGCACTGTTGATTCGTAGATTATGGAAATTATTGCATTCGGGACGGTCTCGACGAAAATGTAGCACTCGGCTTCGCCTCGTGCTACATTTTCCTCTCGAACACCCCTCGTGCAATAATTTCCATAACCTACTCTCAACAGTGCTTTAACTAATACATATTTGGAGTCTATTATTTCATTCCATTCTGCCATTAATTACTGAGTGAGTGGTTTATATCCTTCA